AGATGTGATTCTCAATCCGGCTTCAGACCCAAACACTCTACTCTAACAGCTCTAACAACCACTTATGATAAGTGGCTTCAAAGTACTAACAACAAGAAACTTACTGGCACTCTTTTTATTGACCTAAAGAAAGCCGTCGACACTCTTAACTATGATATTCACATTGCTAAACTTCCCTACTTTGGTTTTTCACCTTCAACAGTATCATGGTTTAAGTCTCTGATCGTTCCCAGCAAGTTCTTTTGGTCGTACACTGTCTTCAACTAAATCATGTTCTACAGGTGTCCCTCAATGTTCTACTTTAGGCCCTCTTCTCTTCTCTATCTACATTAATGACCTTCCTTCTGCACTTAGCACAATCCATCCTAACATACATGTTGACATGTATGCTGATGACACCATCGTTTACTACAGTAACACCTCTACACGACTAATAGAACATCAACTAAATTCCGCACTTCAACGTCTGTCTATCTGGCTGAAATCTAACAAATTAACTCTTAATGTTCAAAAAACTAAATCTAGGCCTATGCTTATTGGTACTTCTAACAAGCTAAAAGCTCATAATAACAAAATAAACCTTCATTTAGACAACATTCCAATCCAATCCGTAACCTCCCACAAACACCTTGGTGTTATCATTGATAACACTTTAACTTGGAATTCTCACATTACTGCACTCTGTAAAAAACTGAATTCTATAGTCTACTTACTTGCTCGTACCGCAAAATTTACCAACACTTCCTCACTTCACCTCCTTTACAACTCTCTTTTTCTCTCTCGATTAGATTACTGCTGCTCCGTCTGGGGCTCTAAACTGCAAAAAATTTTACTAAATCTTCCTCCTACTACTCATTTAACTCACTCTCACTTCAAAATTATTAATACTCTTCCTCTTCAATACAGATATCAATATCAACTTGACTGTCTTACCTTTAAGGCTCTCCACAATCTTATTCCTCAAACTGTTTCTAAACGTCTCACTAAAATTACTACAAATGGCCGCATGACCACTCGCCAAATTACTAAAGGGGACCTTCTTATCCCCAGATACCACTTACAACTATTTAAACTTTCTTTCATGTATAATGCTCCATATTTCTATAACTCTCTCCCTCTATATATCCGAAATGCTGCATCCTACTCCTCATTCAAAGCATATCTCAAAAACTTTCTCACTCTTTCCTTAAACTAACTCCCCTACTATTCCGATCTCCTTTTGTCTCATCTTATTATTATTATTATTATTATTCTTGAGCATTGCCATTTGCTTGGTGCTCTTTTGTTTTTTTATTCTTTTATTAGATTTTTATTTTCATATTATTATTTTTAAAAGATACTTCTTTTGGATTCTATTTTGATAACATTTAGGTTCGTACATTAATTATTTTCGGTAGAATGTACATTTGATTAAATTTTTGATTATCTTGGTTTCTGTAACAAATTTATTTTAATCACATTTTACTTTTATTGCTATTTTATATTTTCTAAATATGCCTTTTATAATTTTTTCTCTTTTTTAATTCTTTTAGTTATGTGTATTCATTTTTAATTATTGGAATATACATTATATTAAATCTTCAATTACCTTGTTTCTTTAATTTAATACATAATATATATTATATATTTAATTTATATTTAACTTTGATATTTATTGTTTTTTTTTTAAATTACGTTTTAAATTTTTTTCTGTTTATTTGGTTTATTTTAATTCTATTTTAAAATAATATATAATTATTTACTTTGTTTTTGTAATTTTTCTCTATTGTTTTTGCTTTGTATGTATTTGAGGGTCCCAAATGATCAGCCCCGGCTGGATTGACCACCCTCACAAAATATTGTTGAAATAAATAAAATAAAAATAATAAACCATGCAATGAGTCTTATGCTGGTCGAAATCCAGTTTGCAGAAAACCCGGTTTGCCGAGTTTATGGCCACTGTGCCGAAACCCAGTTTGCCGAATGCAGTTTACCGAAAACATGAAATCCCAGTTTGCCGAAACCCGGTTTGCCGAACCCAGTTCTGTCGTTACCGTACAAAAGCACAGCACACACTAAATTTAATAACGGCAATTATGTAGGCGAAACCGAATGTAAACTAAGACTTAAGACAACCACAAAAACTATTAGTTTAAGACCATCAAAAGGGCTGTTGCCAACCACTTTAATTCACCCAGTCATCAGTGATTTAGTCCTTTTAATTCTACTAGGCTAGAAAATGTGCTGAGATCCGTTGGCTCCTCTGCCTTAAATCAAATGTTAATGGTTTAAACAAAGATTTCAGTTTTGTGAGCGAATATTCTTTTATATACCAAGGTCTTATACACATCTAGATGTGTATAAGAGACAGAGGTTTGGGTGTGTAGTGAGACTATCACGAGTGACAGAAAAACAACGGTTGACGTATTTCTGGAACATAAATATATTTTATTTGAGCACAAATATTTAGGTCGTCCTTGCAACCTTCTTCAGTGTGTACTGAACATGCAATGGATCTTGCATAGTACTTAGGTACATATATTAGCATTAAAAAAGGTAGCCTGGTTCACGTCGAAGTTAAGCCGCCTATCTAAATCTTGAAATATAATACGATTTTCCCAAGTCAGATAAACAGCCAGCCAGCTTCGTGGCCGTCTACGTCACACGGTGGAAAGGCTTGTTTAGGAAAACGTCTACTGTATTTTACAAACACTTAGTACCAAGGAGTATTCGTAAAAAACTGACACATTCGTAAAATATTGTAGATCAACTGTCAGTTTCCACTACCAAGCCTTGCTATCCTCTGCCATCGATATATAGGCGACCAGGTAGTCCGAACCAACCGACAGTGCAGCAGCGTGGTCTACCGCAATAGTAGTAGACTAGGCTCAACTACATTTACCTTCGATAACTACTTATTAACAAATTTACGGTAAAAATATATAAATACTGTTTGCTTAACTATTTGACAATCGTTAAAATATTTTGAAACTAGAGGGCACTCCGAGAGTGCATACCTCTGCCAACATCATAATTCTCCTCAGTATAAATTTCCCCGCATATTGTCGCCTTAAAAAATAATGAAAAAAATAGCAAGTAGATTTCCTGGGATTTGAACCTCATTGCTCGCATCGCTCGCAACTTGATTACTTTAATTCTCGTGACTACGGCCCTGATTTAATGTATTACAATAAAATTAATAAAGGCAATTCATGAAACTTACTGAAATTAAACGTACATCTATTGATGGTTTGACTTTAGGGTGTTAACCTACTGGTGTCTGCTGTTGTACCGTGGAATGAAGTAGTGTGTTCGTGACGTGGCGTTAGAATATTGTAAATCGGTTAATTAGCATGAAATTAATTATGTACCCCGAAAGAACAAATGTTTTAGAATAAGATTTTTTTCTCTCTTTCTTCCACTTTATTCAAAACATATACAGTAACAAAAGGAAAGTATACAAAGCATATAAAGCAAATAAATTCAAGTCCAAGTTTCCAAAAAGGAATTAAGCTTATAATTAATACTGGCTATGTATTTTATAGTTTGAAAATAATGAGCAATTTCGATTTTTGCCACTTTGGCTTCCAGTGGCTTCATTTGCATTTTTCTTTTGTATAGATGATTACGGCATAAGAGCAAAACAAGGTTTAGTGCGTGCAATTTGGGATTTCTCACCCCGAAAATGCACATTTCTTTATCAATAATTAATTGCAATTAATTTTTTCTTTTATCCATTGTGCTATTTTGGTCCAAAACTCTATTGATACATGGCAAAAGTAAAAAAGATGTTCTATGGTTTCCTGTTCACTATTAAAAAGTACAGATATCACTGTCCAAAATACCAATTTTGTAAAGAAAAGAATTTACATCGATAAATTTATGAATTACTCGGTATTGCAACCATCTAAATTTGGTATCTTGTGTGCATTTACAAGGTATATTTAAAATCAAAGTCCAATCCTTTTGGTCATATTATTTTTGCATTCCAACTTGCCATTTCAGTTTATAAGATTCTTTAAAATTACTTTTCAACACAAGCTTATTATATACCAGTCTAGACTTGCCACAAGTGTCTAATTTTTTAAATTATTTTTCTCATACTGGACAGCGCCACCAACGAGAAAGTTAATTTAGAGACGGAAAAAATCCGAAATGGGACGCCAATTAAATTAGGTATGGCGCGCACTAAGTGCAAAATTACGCCTATACTTGATTCTCCTGACACAAATCCAGTTATTGTCTATTCCATCACGACACCTTTCATTGGATAGTGTATATGTTTAACTTACTGTTTGCCTACGTTTGTTTTTGCTGAATAAATTGGTTATACTTATTAGAGCTTGATTGGAGTCTTTTTTGCGTCCAGTAAAGTTGGTTCTGTGTGCATTATGACCCATGTGAACGTTAAAGAACGCAGAACACTCTTCAGAAAAGAGTACGAGATTGTCTTCAATTTTCCCTTCCGACTTTTCGTGGCTTATCTTATATATACACCGAATAAATTAAAATTCAAAATGGGTGTGTTTTTTCAAAATTAATATTGAACATTATGTTGACTATTAAATGTTATTTAGTATTCCCGTTATAGACCAATTCCTTTAGTCCAGTTCAAAGTTTTCAAATCAATTTTTGTCATTGCATGACAAGTCATTTGTTGTTTTTGCATTTTCCCATGGCACGCAAGTGTGAAATGTGCTACAATGAAAACAATTAATTCAGTACATTTCCACGTAAGGTAGGGCAAAATTACGCCTATACTTGATTCTCCTGACGCAAATCCAGTTATTGTCTATTCCATCACGACACCTTTCATTGGATAGTGTATATGTTCAATTTACTGTTTGCCTACGTTTGCTTTTGCTGAATAAATTGGTTATACTTATTGGAGCTTGATTGGAGTCCTTTTTGCGTCCAGTAAAGTTGGTTCTGTGTGCATTATGACCCATGTGCACGTTAAAGAACGCAGAACACTCTTCAGAAAAGAGTACGAGATTGTCTTCAATTTTCCCTTCCGACTTTTCGTGGCTTATCTTATATATACACCAAATAAATCAAAATTCAAATGGGTGTTTTTGCTTTTTTCAAAATCAATAATGAACATATGTTGACAGTTAAATGTTATTCAGTATTCTCGTTATAAACCAAATCCTTTAGTCCAGTTCAAAGTTTTCAAATCAATTTTTGTCATTGCATGACAAGGCATTTGTTGGTTTTGCATTTTCCCATGGCACGCAAGTGTGAAATATGCTACAATGAAAACAATTAATTGATGCCAAACACATTCTATTTTAATAAATGGATGAATACCGTAAACGTTGTCTATTGTGTTTCTGATAAAAATATCGATGGGGTATGTTGTTCCGTATGGTTGTAATTGTCTCTATGCACTCCTGAAACCCATGACACAAGTGCAAAATAATAGAAACAATATAAAACCAAAGAGTAAAGGGGAAAATCAGTAAATACAATAATGAGAACATGTGGGTTTTGAGCCGAGACATGAAGGCACCCACAGATAATGATGCTGAATCTCTGTTTTATAAATCTCATCTTGATAGAAACAGAGGTAACACCAAGCAAATTTGGAACGGCTTGAAAGATCTTCTTCCTTCTAAACAATCTAACGTCCTCCCTCCCTCTTTCTCTATAAATGGAAGGGATGTTTCTGACTCCCTTACTATAGCTAATTCTTTCTTCGCTAACCATGCTGCTGAGCTTTCATCTCTGATCGACTCTTCCAACTGCCCAGATCCTATTTCTTATCTTAATCAATGCTCTTCCCATTTTTCAATTGAGAATATTAATGAAGAATTCGTTCTTTCTGAATTAAGAAAAATCGAACACTTCTACTGGACTTGATTTAATTGACGGGAAACTTTTAAAACTTGCTGCTCCTCTCATCTCACCTCATCTCACTTTTATTTTTAATCTGTCCCTCAACTCTGGTTATTTTCCCTCTTCATGGAAGAAAGCTAAGATAATACCTATTTTCAAGTCAGGAAAGAAAACTGATCTTAACAACTACCGTCCAATATCTATCCTTCCACTATGTTCTAAGATTATTGAGAAAGCTGTTTCTTCACAAATTCACTTCTACCTTGATTCTAACAATTTGATCTCTAATTCTCAATCCGGCTTCAGACCCAAACACTCTACTCTAACAGCTCTAACAACCACTTATGATAAGTGGCTTCAAAGTACTAACAACAAGAAACTTACTGGCACTCTTTTTATTGACCTAAAGAAAGCCTTCGACACTCTTAACTATGATATTCTCATTGCTAAACTTCCCTACTTTGGTTTTTCACCTTCAACAGTATCACGGTTTAAGTCTTACTTATCTGATCGTTCCCAGCAAGTTCTTTTTGGTCGTACACTGTCTTCAACTAAATCATGTTCTACATGTGTCCCTCAAGGTTCTACTTTAGGCCCTCTTCTCTTCTCTATATACATTAATGACCTTCCTTCTGCACTTAGCACATCCATCCTAACATACATGTTGACATGTATGCTGATGACACCATCGTTTACTACAGTAACACCTCAACACGACTAATAGAACATCAACTAAATTCCGCACTTCAACTTCTGTCTATCTGGCTGAAATCTAACAAATTGACTCTTAATGTTCAAAAAACTAAATCTATGCTTATTGGTACTTCTAACAAGCTAAAAGCCCATAATAACAAAATTAACCTTCATTTAGACAACACTCCAATCCAATCCGTAACCTCCCACAAACACCTTGGTGTTATCATTGATAACACTTTAACTTGGAATTCTCACATTACTGCACTCTGTAAAAAACTGAATTCTATAGTCTACTTACTTGCTCGTACCGAAAAATTTACCAACACTTCCTCTCTTCACCCCCTTTACAACTCTCTTTTTCTCTCTCGATTAGATTACTGCTGCTTCGTCTGGGGCTCTCTAAAAACTACTTCTACTACTAAACTGCAAAAAAATCAAAATAAAGCTATACGCATTTTACTAAATCTTCCTCCTACTACTCATTTAACTCACTCTTACTTCAAAATTATTAATACTCTTCCTCTTCAATACAGATATCAATATCAACTTGGCTGTCTTACCTTTAAGGCTCTCCACAATCGTGTTCCTCAAACTGTTTCTAAACGTCTCACTAAAATTACTACAAATGGCCGCATGACCACTCGCCAAATTACTAAAGGGGACCTTCTTATCCCCAGACACCACTTACAACTATTTAAACTTTCTTTCAGGTATAATGCTCCATATTTCTATAACTCTCTCCCTCTATATATCCAAAATGCTGCATCCTACTCCTCATTTAAAGCATATCTCAAAACATTTCTCACTCTTTCCTTAAACTAACTCCCCTACTATTCCAATCTCCTTTTGTCTCTTCTTGAGCATTGCCATTTGCTTGGTGCTCTTTTGTTTTTTTATTCTTTTATAAGATACTTCTTTTGGATTCTATTTTGATAACATTTAGGTTCGTACATTAATTATTTTCGGTAGAATGTACATTTTATTAAATTTTTGATTATCTTGGTTTCTGTAACAAATTTATTTTAATCACATTTAACTTTTTTTGCTATTTTATATTTTCTAAATATGCCTTTTATAATTTTTTCTCTTTTTTAATTCTTTTAGTTATGTGTATTCATTTATAATTATTGGAATGTACATTATATTAAATCTTCAATTACTTTGTTTCTTTAATTTAATACATATATATTTAATTTATATTTAACTTTGATATTTATTGGGTTTTTTTTTAATTACGTTTCAAATTGTTTTCTGTTTATTAGGTTTATTTTAATTCTATTTTAAAATAATATATAATTATTTACTTTGTTTTTGTAATTGTACTCTATTGTTTTTGCTTTGTATGTATTTGAGGGTCCCAAATGATCAGCCCCGGCTGGATTGACCACCCTCACAAAATATTGTTAAAATAAATAAAATAAAAATAATAAACCATGCAATGAGTCTTAGGCTGGTCGAAATCCAGTTTGGAGAAAACCCGGTTTGCCGTGTTTATGGCTACTGTGCCGAAACCCAGTTTGCCGAATGCAGTTTACCGAAAACATGAAATCCCAGTTTGCCGAAACCCGGTTTGCCGAACCCAGTTTGCCGAATTCTGTCGTTACCGTACAAAAGCGCAGCACACACTAAATTTAATAACGGCAATTATGTAGGCGAAACCGAATGTAAACTAAGACTTAAGACAACCACAAAAACTATTAGTTTAAGACCATCAAAAGGTAAATTTCCCCG